TGTTGCCAGTCTGATGTCTCTACTCTTTACTATTTTATCGAGACTGGACATTGCTCTCCTCCCAAGAAGTAAGCGTCTTCTGATTTCCTGGCTACAGTCTGCATCTGCAGTAATCGTTGCACCTAGAAATACAAAGTCTGTCACGGCCTCCACGTTTTCTCCCTCTATTTTCCAGTTGTCAATCATTCTTGTTGCCATAATCTTGGTTTTTTTTATGTTGAGCTGCAACCCAGCTTTTGCGCTTTCTTCTTTCACCTTGATTAGAAGGCTCCTCAGCTCCTCCTCGCTTTCGGCCATCAGAGTGGTGTCATCTGCATATCTGAGGTTGTTAATGTTTCTCCCAGCAATTTTCACCCCAGCTTTGCATTCATCAAGCCCCGCACATCGCATGATGTATTCTGCATACAAGTTGAATAGGTTGGGTGAGAGGATGCAGCCTTGCCGTACGCCTTTCCCAATCTTGAACCAGTCTGTTGTTCCGTGGTCAGTTCTGACTGTTGCTACTTGGTCCTTGTACAGATTCCTCAGGAGAGAGACAAGGTGGCTTGGTATGCCCATCCCACCCAGAACTTGCCACAATTTATTATGATCCACACAGTCAAAGGTTTTAGAATAGTCAATGAAGCAGAAATAGATGATATTATATTTATATTATATTATATTATATTATATTATATTATATTATATTATTATATTATATTATATTATATTATATTATATTATATTATATTATATTATATTATATTATATTATATTATATTATTATTATAGTTTACTTATTGCATACTATGGCTTCTCTCTGAAGTTTTTTTTAGTGTTTCTCAGTACCTTCCTCTTGCATATGGATAGTACAGTTTTGGCTTCCTGAGCAAAGGCACTCACACAGCTTGAACAGCTGAAATAGAATGATGCTGAATTGCAACTAGAATAACTATTATAATCACAGGCAACCCTCGCCTCTCAAATAATAGGCAGCCAGCAGTCACTGTTCATTTCTGTCCAGGGTATTTTCTCATTAGTTCAGAATGCATCCTTGTTTCTCAATGGTGCTGCCAACAGTGTCTCACATTTCCTAAAATTTAGGTTAAGTAATACAACAGTGGGAGAAGCGGCTTGGTGGGAATCCAATCTCAAAAAGAACGAAAAAGCTTTTTGCTCAGTTCGGATGTGCCTAATCAGAGCAATTGGGTATTTAAGTATAACTACGATCAAAAGTAATGAATTGCCTTAGTCAAGAAAGACATTATCATAAATCCTTCCGCAATGGCAGACCCAGCCAGTTATGGCTAACTGATGCTTAATCAGGTGTTAAATATATGCAAAGATTAAGCTGCAAACTTTTGCTGCAGAAGCCGCTCACAGAAGATTAAGTATAACTCTGATGAGAAGTGAAATGAACATTTTTATTACATTTCTCTCTCTCTCTCTCGCCTCTTCCACTTGTAATGTTTTCAGAGTTTTCCGAAGTTCTGCTTGCTAGGAATAGCTCCGATGCTCTTCTCATCCGCACACAGTTCCTTCTGTTGGCACAGTGCTTCCTTCCTTGAGATCAATCAAGTCTTTTCCTTGAATGCATAATCTCCTCATTAATAGGAATTGGGAAAATGCCACTGTAGGGTGGTATACAGAAAGCACAGAGTTTCTATTGTGCGTTGCTGCATGGTAGGCAGTTGGAGTGGATGGGCTTTGGAGTCCCTTCAAACTCTCTCTCTCTCTCTCTCTCTCTCTCTATATATATATATATATATATATAATGCTTTTACTTACTTACTTAGGCAATCCCTCATTGTCCGAGTAGGATAGTCTTCCAAGATCAGTGTACTGGTGGGTCCGTAGGTGACTGTGGAGCCCTATTCTTGATCTGCATCTTCTCCCGCAGTGAGGGCATCGGTTTCCAGGTAGAAGATGGTTCTGGTCAAGGTTGGCTTGACGCGCCTTCCTCTTGGCACATTTCTCTCTTTCGCCCTCCATTCGTGCCTCTTCAAATTCTACAGCACTGCTGGTCACAGCTGACCTCCAGCTGGAGCGCTCAAGGGCCAGGGCTTCCCAGTTTTCCATGTCTATGGCGGAGTTTTTAAGGTTGGCTTTGAGCCCATCTTTCCAAGACTGTTGTCATCATGTCATCATAGAGGAACTACAGGATGTTCACAAATCGGGCACCCGATATTTGGGGGGATGGTCCAGAGAGCACTGCGATTCACTGTATATCCAATAGTTTCTTTGCAGGCTGTGATGATGGAGGTCTTCAGTTTGTTCCAATGTTCCTCAACATTTTTGGGGTGTTCTATGCGTAGATGGTTGTGCCGTTACACCCAGACGTTATAAAAATAAACTAAGATGTGCTGCTCTCTATGTCTGAACGAACTGCGGCTTGAGAATAGTGGGATCCTAAACAAAGAGACTTAATCCAGTTTAGTGGTCTGAGGCTGGATCTACACTGCCCTATATCCCAGGATGTGATCTATTTTGAACTGGATTATATGAGTCTACACTCCCAGATAATCTGGGATCAGATCTTGGAATATAAGGCAATGCAGTTCCATCTTGAGTGTTGCAGTAGGACTCTGGGAGGCAAGCATTCAAATTTCTGGTAAAGCTTGAGCAGCTCGCAATCTCTCATACAGCCATATAACCCAGAATATCAAGGCAGAAAGTCCCACAATATCTGATTTAAACTGGGTTATCTGAGTCCACACTGCCATATATTCCACTTCAAAGTAGATAATGTGGGATTTTATTCCTCTGTATGGAGGGGACCTCAGTCTAACGGCCCCATTCACACTGGAAAATTATAACACCGTTATTCCACTTTAACTATCATGGCACATCCTATGGAATCCTGAGATTCACAGTTTAGAGCAGTGCTTCTTAAACTGTGTGTCCCAATCCCAAATGGTGTTCCCATACCTCAATGTTAGTAAGGTAAATGTAAAGGTTTTCCCCTGACATTGAGTCCAGTCGTGTCCGACTCTGGGGGTTGGTGCTCATCTCCATTTCTAAATCGAAGAGCCAGAGTAGTCCACAGACACCTCAAGGTCATGTGGTCAGCATGACTGCATGGAGCGTGGTTATTTATTTATTTATTTATTTCACGCACTTCTACCCCGCCCTTCTCAACCCCCGAGGGGGGACTCAGGGCGGCTTACAAAAGGCACAATTCGATGCCAACATAAACATAAACAATGGATAAAACAAGTATATAGCAATTATAACAATTAAACAGTCACTTTATACAACAAAATCAATAAAATCAATAAAACCAGTCAGTACTCAGCGTTCACCATCTCAGAGTCCATAAATTCATTCCATATTGTCTAGTCATCATTGTCCTTGTCTAATTGCCAGATTGCCCGAAAGCCTGGTCCCACAACCATGTTTTTAATTTCCTTCTGAAGGAGAGGAGGGATGTCGATGACCTGATTTCCCCGGGGAGTGAATTCCACAGGTGGGGGGCCACTGCCGAGAAGGCCCTGCTCCTCATCGCCACCAATCTCACTTGTGATAGAGGTGGGGTCGAGAGCAAGGCCTCCCCAGAAGATCTCAAACTCCGAGGTGGGATGTAGAGGGAGATGCGTTTGGACAGATACGCTGGGCCGGAGCCGTATAGGGTTTTGTAGGTCAAAACCAGCACTTTGAATTGTGCTCGGAACTGGATCGGCAGCCAGTGGAGCTGACATAACAGAGGGGTGGTATGTTCCCTGTATGACGCTCCGGTGAGTAATCTGGCTGCCGCCCGCTGGACTAATTGAAGTTTCCGAACAGTCTTCAAAGGCAACCCCACGTAGAGTGCGCTGCAGTAATCTATTCGGGATGTAACAAGAGCGTGGACCACTGTGGCCAGATCCGACTTCCCAAGGTACGGGCGCAACTGGTGCACAAGTTTTAATTGTGCAAAAGCTCTCCCGGCCACCGCTGAGACCTGGGGTTCCAGGCTTAGTGATGAATCCAGGATCACTCCCAAGCTGCGAACCTGCTCTTCAGGGGGAGTGTAACCCCATCTAACACAGGCTGTAACCCTATGCCCTGTTCGGCCTTACGACTGACCAGTAGGACCTCTGTCTTGCCTGGATTCAATTTCAATTTGCTAGCTCTCATCCAGTCCGACACAGCAGCCAAGCACCGGTTCAAGGTTTGGACAGCCTCCTTGGTGACAGGTGAGAAGGAGTGACAGATTTGGACAACATCTGCATAGAGATAACACCTCATTACGAAACTCCGGATGATCTCCCCCAGTGGCTTCATGTTGATGTTAAACAACATTGGGGACAGAATTGAACCCTGTGGGACTCCACACAACAATGGTACCTATTGATCTACTCACATTTGCATTTGAGTATGTTCAATGTTAGATTCATAAAAATTTGGCAACAATAAAACCTTTCTGAATACCACCCATTTACACAAATCTGTTAGCAGCAATGCGCAGTGTTTACAATGGACTTAAGCAATGCTTTTCCATAAAAAGGAAAATCGGCCTATTTAATTTAGCAAGCCTTGCAAATGCTGGTTCATTTTCAGTAAATATTTTTTATATATCTGGGAACATGTAATAAAATTCTTGGGCAGAAAGGGGGCCATGGATGGAAAACATTTAGAAAGCCCTGGCTTAGAGAAATCTGAGCTAAAAAGCTTTGTTGCCTCACTAAACTACAAGATCCATGATTCTACAGGATGGAGCCATGGCAATGAAAGTGGAAGCATGGCACTATAATTCTGTAATCTAAATGATCTGTAAGAGAAAGGCAATGACAAGTCCGCTTGACAAGAAAACCCAATGAGAGAGTCACCAGATAGAGCTGACACAACAAAAGCCAAAATATCTGGCAAAACAAGTTTCTGACCCTTGGCATGAAGCATAAAACTGGCCATATGAACATGACTGTCTCTCTGACTTTTCCTAATATTAATTTCTTGGATCCCTCTCTACAGATTCCTGGCGTATGTAATAGCATTGATTAACTAGTCGTTGGGTTCTTCTTTTTCCTTCATCTGTGCTCTAGCTCTTGATCCCTGCTCTGCTTACATCAGTCTGAATGAACCTTGGAGGAACACCGAATACCAGTTCAATGGATCGACCGACCAACCTGAGTGCGACAGCCATGTTGATGGAGAATGGTACCGCTTCACGGGGATGGCTGGTGATGCCATGCCTACTTTCTGCATCCCAGAAAACCACTGTGGGACTCATGCCCCAATCTGGTTGAATGGCAGCCACCCTCAGGAGTCAGACGGCATTGTTCAAAGGCAGGCTTGTGCAACTTTCAATGGGAACTGCTGCCTCTGGAACACAACGGTTGAAGTCAAGGCATGCCCAGGGGGCTACTATGTCTACCGCTTAACAAAGCCCAGCGTCTGCTACCATGCCTACTGTGGACGTAAGTGACCCTAACAAAACTTTTCCTTACAATATTTCTTTGAACAAAGCACGTGGAGGGCAATGTGGTTGGTGGGTCATGATGCTTTTAATGATTTGGGAATTACATTATGATTTATTGACTGCACTGGACAATTCTTCCTAGCAAAAAAATTGATTGGCTTGTTGTAAGTTTTTTGGGCTATATGGCCATGTTCCAGAAGCATTCTCTCCTGACGTTTCGCCTGCATCTACAGCAGGCATCCTCAGAGGCTGTGAGACCTTACAACAACCCAGGGATTCTGGCCATAAAAGCCTTCGACAATACAAAAATTTGAATGGTATCGTCTTTTGTATTTAACTTCTGTAAATGCATAACTAACTTAACCTTTTCCCACAAAAGTGTTTGCAGTGTGCTTTCATTTGGACTTGCAGCCTTTCCATACAACACAATCATAGTGCTTCAGCACTTCTTTACTGTCATCCCATGGTTTTTTGCATCATTCTAGATCCAGGGAAGTCATGCTACCCCACTATTTTGCCTTGGTCCAGCTCTGGGCAACGCAATTTAAGGGAGCTGTTGGCAAGCTGGAATGTGTTCAGAGGAGGGCAACTAAAATGATCAAGGGTCTGGAGAACATGCCCTATGAGGAGCGGCTTAAAGAGCTGGGCACGTTTAGCCTGCAGAAGAGAAGGCTCAAAGGAGACGCGATGGCCATGTATAAATATGCGAGGGGAAGTCATAGGGAGGAGGGAGAAAGCTTGCTTTCTGCTGCCCTAGAGAATAGGATGTGGAGCAATGGCTTCAAACTACAGGAAAAGAGATTCCACCTGAACATTAGGAAAAACTTCCTAATGGTGAGAGCTGTTCAGCAGTGGAACTCGCTGCCCCGGAGTGTGGTGGAGGCTGTAGCAAACATCCCAATTAATATGTAGTGTTGCCACCACTTAATATGAAACAGAACATGCAGGAAATTACAGGCTTGTATCAGTTCAATATGTGTAACACAATACAATAAAACCATATTCAGCTCCACAGGATCTTCAGCCTTCTCTTTTGTAGAATATCTTCTCTTTAATAATTAGACACAAGTCTTTAGTATTTGAACTGAACAGAAAGATATTTATTTAAAAATTACTCAGGTTCACACAAACTTGATGGTTACACAGTATTTTCTTGTTGTTGTTACAGTTAACTCTTTGTTCCTTTGAAAACATGAAACTGTTACTATTAAACTTTAAGAATGGCTTATCTTCTGCCACCTTAGTGTCTGTTATTTCCTTCCTTTAGAACTTAGTTTCTCTCCCAGTCTCACTTTAACCTTATGGTTTCTTCACTTTACTTATAATTCAACTGAATATCTATTCCTTAAAGAGCACTTTTCACCTCAATCTTTCTGACGGACATTAAACTCAATTTCCCACTTTTATTACTTCAGAGTTAACACTGAAGTCACAATAAAAATATTAGGAATCTCTTTTCTCTAGTACCCCGGCTAGATTATAATTCAAACTTAATTACTTTTACTATTAAAACACCAAGGCTGAAGATTGAACTGGTTATAACAAACTCCTGAGTCCTGCCCTTACATATCAAGGATCAGTCTTCCCTTTTAGTGCACTGGCTACAGACTGAAGCCTCTCTTTTTTAAAAGCCCTCTCTTTCCTTGGCAGTTAGCTCTGTCCCTTCTTCTTCTGCCTGGAGGCCTACGTCGCTATGGCAACGCAGCCAACAAACAGCTACATTTCAAACTGGCCTGCTTGCACTATATATCACTCAATAAAACACTTATAAAAACTCCTATAAGACTAACTAATTTGTTACAGAGACTCCTTCTTTGGCCCACGAGGACTCTTCCAACTCTATTATTCTATGATTCCATGGAATCCTATGGAATCCTGAGATCTACATTTAGGATGAGTATTCTGAATTATCAACCAAAGAACTCTGTTGCCTCACCAGATTACAACGTCCAGGATTCCATAGGCTGTTCCCATTGCATTTTGTTGTTTATTCGTTCAGTCACTCCGACTCTTTGTGACGTCATGGACCAGCCCACGCCAGAACTCTCTGTTGGTCGTCACCACCCCCAGCTCCTTCTGAGTCAAGCCAGTCACTTCAAGGATACCACCCATTCATCTTGCCCTTAGTCGGCCCCTCTTCCTTTTACCTTACATTTTCCCCAGCATTATTCCCTTCTTCAAGCTTTCCTGTTTCCTCATTATGTGGCCAAAGTACTTCAACTTTGTCTCTAATATCCAATGAGCAGTCAGACTTTATTTCCTGAAGTATGGACTGGTTAGATCAGTGGTTCTCAACATGTGGATCCTCAGATGTTTTGGCCTTCAACTCCCAGAAATCCTATCAGCTGGTAAACTGGCTGGGATTTCTGGGAGTTGTAGGCCAAAACACCTGGGGACCCACAGGTTGAGAACCACTGGGTTAGATCTTCTTGTGGTCCAAGGCACTCTCAGAGTTTTCCTCCAACACCATAGTTCAAAAGCATCTATCTTCCTTCACTCAGCCTTCCCTATGGTCCATATGCAATGCATAAATATAAATATGCATAAATGCAATGGGTCCCTATGGCCCATTGCATTTTGAGTGAGAAAATAGTGCAATAAGTGTATATGGCATTATGTCCAACCATAAGTCGGAACCACAGATGAAGAGCCTCTTTGGCAAAGGGAGGTTTCTCATAAGCTGCCTCGAGTCCCGCTTTTGGGGAAAAGCATATACCCTACAATTGTTCTAATTGTAGGAACAATCCCAATTCATTCTCTATCATTATCAGTACTTTGAAAATATATCCCCATTTCTCCTACATGGCCTTGAATATTGGCAGCTTGGCTTTTCTGTCCAGAAAGAGCTTTAAACCACACAGTTGGGGTACAAGGGATGGATCACATACTATTACTCTTGACTGTTTAGTTCAATCCCAAGAGCAATGACTTTTTGAGCTTTGTCAATAGCACAAGAACAAACCATGTTTTTCCAGGAGAGCTCCGTGGCATTTTTCTTCCACGAGGAGTAAGCAAAAGCCCGTTTTTGCATTTCTGTAATAGAGGTGTCAAAATCCACAGCGCCTCGAGCATAAATCCACTTTCCAAATGGCTCTGTCCTGCTTTCGTTCCCATTACAGTGCTCTAAGGTGCTTTTGGTGCAATGCATGACAAATGCCTTCAGTGAACTGCTGCGGTCGCAGAGGGGATTTTTCACATCTGGCCACCAACAAAGCAAAACATTCAGTACAAAAGAGCAAAGCTTGCTCTGACTTCCCCGAGAAATTTCAAGTTTAAATTTCCAGTTTAGTTCTGCATCCCCAGGCAATCTAGTTAATGGCTTCCTGTTGGGTGACTCATTGATATTTATAGCTCATAATTGAGAAATCCTTTTAGTAATTTATTTCTTCTGGAAAGTGGTTCCTTCATGTGCATTGCAATCTGCTCAGGAGGCCTTGCTCAAGGTTTCTCGCTCAAGCCACCCCAAGTCCATCTGGGGAGATGGGGAGGGATGCAAATAAAGTTGATTATCTATATAAATAAAAATGTAATGTTCATTTGTGGGTTTAACATAACTCAAAAACCACTGGATGAATTGACGCCAAATTTGGACAGAATATGCCTAACAACCCAATGAGTGACCATCACTCACAACATTGATTTTGTCATTTGAGGGTTGTAGTTGCTGGGATTTATAGTTCACCTACAATCAAAGAGCATTCTGAATTCCACCAAAAATGGAATTGAACCAAATTTGGCACACAGGACTTCCAAGACCAACAGAAAACAGTAGAAGGGTTTGGTGGGCATTGACCGTGAGTTTTGGAGTTATAGTTTACCAACACCCAGAGAGCACTGTGGTCTCAAACAATAATGGATCTAGACCAAACTTGGCGTGAATACTCCATATGCCCAAATGTGAGCACTGGTGGTGCTGGGGGAAAATAGACCTTGACATTTGTCAGTTGTAGTTGCTGGGATTTATAGTTCACTTACATTCTGAACCCCACCAATGATAGAATTGAACCAAACTTTCCACACAGAACCCCCATTACCAAAAGAAAATACTGTGTTTTCCTATGGTTTTGGTGACCCCTCTGACACCCCTTTATGACCTCCGCTGGAGTCCGGACCCCCAGGTTGAGAAATGCTGCCTTAAGGTCATCCAGTCCAACTCTCTTCACCAGGGCAAGAAAACAAAACCAAAGCCCTCCTGACATAAATATAGAAAGATAGATATGATTCACACACACATATGTATATGACAGATATAGGATCATGGATTTGAAAGGGACCTCTAAAGAAGGACAATTCTATGTTGCATGTTCCAGAGTAGGCAAACCAGACAATCTCGACATCAACACTGACAAATAAACAAGAAGAAATACTGTTTACCCATAATCATAAAAAATTACATATATTACAAACCAATACTTTCTCATTACTTTATTATCCAGATCACCAGACTGGGCCACAGCAATGCCTAGCAAGGGACGGCTAGTTGTTGTTGTTGTTGTTGTTGTTGTTATAGCATCATTTTTCAAAAGGCTGTGACTTCTAACAAAGTCAAGCCTTTCCAAAGATCAAAAACATCCCCAAAAGGTTATGGAGATTTCTATTTTCCAAAATATGCACACCGACAGGTCTTCCCTCTTTTCTCCCTCTCTTTCAATCTCATATACAAAATTTTAAACACTGAGCAAGTGGACTACACTAATTGCTGTTTCCTTTCAATGCTTTTCTTGTTAATGTAACTGATTTAAACTGACACTAAAAAACAGAGGAGTGTGATTGTCTGGAGCTGAATAAAAATCCCTTTCAATTCACATAATCAAATACAGCTGGCCCTCCGTATCCACGGACTCTGCATCCATGGATTCCACCATCCATGGCTTGAAAATATTCAAACACAAATTCCAAAAAGGGACATCATTTTACTTCACCATTGTATATACAGTGTTCCCTCACTTATTGCGGGGGTTACGTTCCAGGACACCTGCAATAAGTGAAAATAGGGAT